ATCCGTAGCAAAAAGAAATCGTCGAATTTGGACATTGTATGAGGATTTTATGGCCATTTACTAAGAATTAGATTGTCAGATTTTTTTCAGTTTAATTACGAAATTGCCACTAGCAGCGTATTTAAAAATTGCACTATTTGCAAAATATTAAAACCTACATATCTCCTTCGTTATAGAGATCAAATTGAGTGATTCAAAAGCCTAAATTGATTAGAATTTCACAAGGAATCCATTGGAGGCATAAAATACGAGTTTCAGGATTGTTTGGCTCGAGAAACGAGGCAGAATAGCTGGTAGAAAAATATACAAAACTAGGTGGGTTTGTTCATTCGGTCATATATTTGAATTGGGAGCTCAGATTTGGGCGATTTGGAGGCGATTTTCACCATATGGATGGGGTAAGTGTTCTCTACTTCGGTTTTATTATTATTTCATGAATCCATCTTCGTTTTTGGGATTTGATTTGATGATTTTCAAAGTGAAATTAAGGAGTTAGGGTTGAGTTTTGGAGAGTTTTTAAAGTGAGGATTTGAGGCGACCAAACGAGTATCGATTTTTGACAAATTTTTATATGGTTAGACTCGGAGAGGACGAGGAGTATTATTCTGCCATTTTGACTGATTCCGAGAGTGGGCCCAAGGCGATTTGTCCGATTCGGAATTTTTGGCATGTTTATGTAGTTTTTATTGTGTAATTCGATTTTTTTGACTATGTTGATAGTAGTATTCTGATTATGGTTAGATTCGAAGCTTTTGGAACCGAGTCGAGGGACGAGGACATCCCGGAGTAGGATTTTACGCTGTTGAGGTAAGTAACAGTTTTAAACTTGCGCTTTGAGGGTATAAACTCGGAGAATTTGATATCATCTGATTGTTTGGAGGTGATACCCATGCTAGGTGACAGGCGTGTGGGTGATACCTGCAGAGATTGAGACTTGGTCAGTCCCGTGGGGCCTCATGCCATCATCTATGTTTACGTAGTATGCTTGTTTTAAAATTGTCGCCTTCATTGTAGAGATCATGCTTAGGCTTTATTTATGCTCACATTATTTGTACTCAGTCATAGAATTATTGACATGTTTAACTCAGTCTCTATTAATTTTCTTAATATGCTGTGATATGATGGTGGGCTGTGTTCCCTATTTGTTGATGATGGTGAGGCTAGTGAGGTACATGATGGAGTGAGGCCGAGTGCCTGGTTGGTGAGGATATTAATACCATAGCGCTTGATGTTGTCCGCGTAGCACGTGATTGACCGTGCTGGTCCAGGTATTGATACCATAGCGCGGAGTTGTCCACGAGCACGTGAGTTGACCGTGCGGATCCAGGTATGATATGGTAGCACGTGAGTTGTCCGTGCTTAGCGCTTGGGCTTGGGAGCCCCTCCGGAGTCTGTACACACCCCAGTGAGCGCAGAGTGTTGAGTGTATGATTTGAGTGTTGAGTTGCTGAGTGCGAGTGCTGAGTTGATGAGTGACATTGCTGTGAGGTTGCATTTACTTTGCTGTTGCTGCATTTATTGTTAAATTCTTTGTGCATTTACGAGTAAGGAATAAAACTGTTTACTTGTTATTTTTAAAATTATGAAAAGTAAATAATTGGACTATTTTTCTCAGCTCGTCACTACTGCTCAATCCTTGGTTATTTCTGTTTCCTGTTGAGGTGGTTGTACTCATACTACACCATGCCACTTTATGTGCAAATCCAGGTGAGTTAGAGCACGGCATCGATTGAGTTCACGCCGGCCTTAATGGAGACTGCAAGGCTGCTAGCGTCCGCAGGGCCTTGTTACTCCTTTTATCATTTCTTCTTTAGACAGTTAGACAGTTTATATATCTCAGTCATAGTTTTAGTAGACGCTCATGACTTAGTGGACGACCCTGAATGTTTGCGGACTCGTTTTCGTATTTATATATTTATAAATTAGAGTTGGTTTAGTTTATCAGAATAAATATTGGAAAATGTTTTATTAGAATCTTATAATCAAAATAGTAGTGATATTGATCGGGAATAGGCTGCCTTTGTAACACGATATGGTGCCATCACGACCACGGTAAGATTTTGGGTCGTGACAAGTTGTATCAGAGCCTAGTACATAGGTCCTCACGAGTCATGAGCGGGTTGTAGTAGAGTCTGTGCAGATCGAGTACGAGACGCTTGACTTATCTTCGAGAGCTGCAGGGGGGGAGAACTTTTTAGGGAACACTTCACCTTCTTGAATTTGTATCGTGCGTATTGCATTCAGCTTTGAAGATGTAATCTTGAATCATTCCACGCAATTCGTATGCGGCACATGGAACGCCTCGGTATCAGGTTGGTGCATCGACGGATTATGATTCCTTAGATGAGGGCGAGATTGTGATTTCTGTGTGTTGATGTTGGGTAGTCTGGGGTCTTGAGGCCGGTTTGTCTTAGCTGAGTACGAAAAATTTTGATTGTGTAGCACGTGTCTCATATGGCCGTTGTGTCCTTATTAGTGGGATTGTGATTTGATTGGCTATGTGGCGAGTTTATGATATGACTGCGAGATTGCTGTTCGAATTGATCGGAATGTGACGAGAAGGGTTTACTGAGATGTTAGCAAGACTAGTGGTGCTGCTTGATTTGTGACTTTGATAAGCTTGTTCAGGTCTCTGTGCTGATAAGAGGTTATTACCAGCATTTTGGCTGTCTGGGCAGCTAACTATGACTAGAAAAATCATCGTTGTGAGTCTTGAATTATGTATATATCATGTGATTTCAGGTAGTGTTAGAGGTCGTTCAGAGACAACGTTGTTAAAGAGGGGAGGATGTTACAACCCAATCGTTCGTTCTGAGAGTTATAGCCACAATTTCCCCCATCTATGCTTATTTATATGTTGTTCAGCTATGTTGAGTTGTACGACGGTTGGTAGGTTTGGGTTCGGAGTAGTTTTGAGGTGAAATGAACACTTAGTCTTTAATTAGGAAAGCTAAGTTAGAAAAGTCAACCGAAGTTGACTTATTAGTAAACGAATTTGGATTTGGATTTTTATGATGCATTTAGTTTCGTTGGGTAATTTTAGACTTAGGAGTGAGTCCGGAATATAATTTGGAGGTCCGTTGGTAGAATTAGGGTTGAATTGCAAAGTTGAAAGTTTCAGAAGTTCTTAGGCTTGAATTCGAGGTTGATTTGTATTTTGGTGTTGTTTTGGGTGTTTCGGAAGGTTTGACTTAAGTTCGGTAGTGATATATGACTTGTTGGAATTGTTGGTTGAAGGTCCGAGGGCCTCGGATGAGTTTTGAATAGGTTTGAGTTGTGTTGAACTCGTTTTTCTTATGTTTCGACGTGTTTCTTCAAGTATAAATAATATCATATTGAACAAATGAGTCCGATTTCTTT